TGAACAAGGAGGTGGGCCTGGGTAAATGCCTTCTTGAAGGTTGCGTGACAGCTAAATAAGGGGTTGCGTGACAGCTAAATAACCTACACATATTATTTTAATATCTCAAAAACTGAAACTACTCAAACAAATATCTTTGCAGCACAAACAGAGGACAAATGGATGAGACTATTTTGCAGACATTTTGCTTTGGGTGGGGGCCATGTTCACACAGGTAAAGTTGACTGCTGTATTTTTGTCAACTCGTTCAACTTTTGATTGATTTTTCTTTGATTTCTATCAGGTCATTTCTGATGTCATCCATTATTTTTTGATAAAATTCAGCAATGCGGTCTTTGAGATCAGAGTGTTTTTTTTTCAAAATTGCCATTCACTGTAGTTTCTTATGTTTGCCCCCCTCTGCCATATTGTTTATAGTGATTTTGTCATCTTTTTTTATTAAGCTAAAGCAAAAAGACAGATTAGCAGAATTCATGCTCTCAGTAGCAATAGAGCAAAAGAAAGAACAAATAAAATTAACCTAAGCAAAGAGATGGAAGAGAAAACACAAGTGGTGCATATACATGTATGGATATGGTACTTTGAAGTGGGTACAGGTAAGTCAAGAGACAATAATAATAATAATAATAATAATAATAATAATAATAATATAGGGCAGTGTTTTGTTTTTCCACAAGATGTCGCTATGACACTTCTATTATGGCATTTAGAAGTTACTAACGACGTTTGAGACTTGTGACATACCATAGTGCTGATATATGGTTTTGTGCGCCATATACTCCTCATTTGTGTTATCAACAATGAGGTATATTTGTTGTTCAAAGTTCTGTTTACTGAGATATTCTGTCCTAAACTGCTAAAGACCCAAATGTAGAATAATATGACAAATTTAAATGTTGTTCTTGTTCTTTTTTTTTTTTTTTTGTAAAGTGATTCAAGAGGAGTATGATTCATGCAAAGCCATTGTGTTATAATATAAGTAACAGCTAATTAATAAAATTGAATGTTTTTGAGATCTCATTTATTGTAATGAAACCTAAATGAGTTTGTGTTATCAACACAGATAGATGCCCTGCTGACAAATAATGGTGGAGTCATGATCACACTTCTCTCTACCTGCATCTCCTGCTTACCACCTCACAAACACATACAATACAATGTGGCAGCGAGCATGCAGAGAGTGATTGGGGTACAACAATAATAATGTAGGAGAGAGCAGGAGTAATATACTACTGCTAACAATTATAAAAATTCTAATATTAGTAATGGTAATAATACTTAGTGGGTTACGAAATGGAATTATATATCCCTCCAGATTCCACCATTTTTACATACAGACATCTCCAACATCTTTCTGCACAGATAACCAACAAGAAACAGATTCATCACTTCTATCCCTCCCCTCGTCAGGTCATACTTGTGCACTAGTGTCATAGTGTCATCACCTCACCACTCACCTGTATTTCCCCACTGGAATTCTGGCCATAGTAGCAGGCACCTCCAGACCATACTGCAGTCTGGATGTGACCCACTAGACTAGGCAATCCAATGGATTGCTTTATTTAGGGCCTGGAAGTGTTACACACCAGCTAGCTTAACAGTTAGAGATCCTGCACTAGCCTAGATCACCTACTTGTTGCATTTGACTGAGCAGGCGAGGGGAGTTCAGTCGGTGGTAGAAAAATAAAAATAAAATAAATTCAAATAAATAAAAAAAATCATTTGTCCACTAGGGGCAGTTCAAAGCAAGTGGAGCAGCAAAAGTAAAATTGTTACAATTTAAGTGTGTTACTTTTGGAACTTAAAAGCAAAATAGCATTAGGCACAAAAGTAGCTCTCTTCTTTGAGTACAACAAAGCCGTCAGGGAGCCACTCAAATGCTTAATGGAAAATATGTGAGTGCTTCTAAATAATCTTGCTTGCTAACCTGAGAGTGTTGATCATGAAAGAGTTTTAATTAGGCTATACAATAATAGTAAACACTGTAACAGCACTTTGTAGCTGGTTTATATTCTGTAAAATTATAGAATGAAACCAACAAGAAAATGTGAAATGTGGGAAATGTGACAATACTCATGTGACAACAGAATGAACTGAGAACAGAACTGAGTTTCCTAAGGAGATACTGCAGCAGCTGGCACCTCAAAGGCCCCATTTACACTAATACATTTTAGTTTTAAAACAGCGTTTTAGAATGAAATCGATCCACACTGGCGTTTTACCCAGCATTTCTGAACAACTCTCCGTTCACACTATATTGCTGAAAACGCACATCACGTGACCCCACACTGCAGCGATGAGAGCTGTGCACTTCGGACTGCTCATCTAGGATCTACTGCTGGATCTAATCTCACTATATTTGTTAAATGTGATATTTAATTCATCATGTTGTTTTTATCTAACAACATATTCGCTGACTTTGTTCTTTTGAATCTAATATTGTTCTCAGGTAACATGTTTTGGCTGAGCTTAAAGATAAATATAATTAATGTAACCATGTACACTGATTCTGCACATTTGACTGATTGCTTGCATTTATTTCCTAAAATGAATAAACTTATTGTACGTTATACTTTTATAATGGCCATTATTGATTATTAAAACTAATATTCAGCAAAAGAAAGGGTATATTTAATATTTTTTATGAAAATGAAAGGAGGCAATTTTGTTATCCTTCATTTTGTTAGAAATATGCATGCAGTAAAGATGACAATGATATAAATGTGTAGATAGAAGATGCCTCAACATTTTTGGTGTCTGTTAAGTTGCTAACATCAAAATAAAAATAGGCAGTTCCTTACATCATGTTTTAATTTAATTGTTAAGAAAGTGAAACAATGTATCCAGGATGATGTCAATGAGGTTATAAGGTACACTGTTCCCTTTAAAGATTTACCCGATGTGTCCTCGGGAGTTTTTTTTCCATATCAAACTTAAGAAGTCTGAAATTGCAAGGAGAGGAAGACTGAACTTCGTGTAGACTACTTAATATTGAGGAAAAGCCAATCACATAGGCTTATGTTTGCAGCCCTTTTTCAGATGTCTCAGTTTTCCCCCCATCCACACTAACACGGAGCAGCAGCTTTTTCCAAATGAAAACGGCCTCTTCAACGTTTTTAAAACGCTCCGTTTTCACTCTCGAAAACTCCGGCATAGTGTGGACGGAAGGCGTAAGCGTAGCAAAACTTATGCATTTTAAAACTAATACGTTTTAGTGTAAACAGGGCCAAAGATAGTCCCCAAATATGTATACTCCTCAATTAGCTCCACAGGGGTCCCACTGTGTGTAGGTGGTAACTGCTGTAGCCAGGTCCCTCTGCTTACTAAAAAAAGTCACCACCATCTCTTTGATTTTAATTATGTCCAATACAAGCTGTCAGCAAACACACCATGCCACAAACTCCTGTAAATTTGGTCCATGACTTTTAAGGTGCACTCATTTTAGGTACAGTTACCATTGAACCGTGCCAAAGCATGATTGTCCTCCATTCCCTCTCCCGATCTGCCTGGACTCACATTGCATTTTTAACGTACCGGACCTGAGCACGCTTTTATCATCGATGATGCGACTGTTTAGTTTAATAGGAAAAGAAGTGCTCTCACTCAAAACAGTGGAGACTGCTTTAGTTTTTGTATCATTATATAATTTTGTATCATGTTTAGTCATTTGGCATGCAGTGACACACAGTCCAACCCGAACAGATCCACCACTTTTGACGCTCATAAATTATCATAAAATTCCTCGTACTGCAGGAATTATAAGGTATGCTAAAGGTGCAGCTGACATGCAGTGAGGGGTTTGCGTCTTTAATAAACTATGACTGTCTTCATTAAACAGTAAGAATAATTAATAAATCCATATGAAACAGTCCCCTAAAAGTGATGTCGCGTCTTCAGTTTCGAGCTCAGGCATGCTTTGCACTCACACTACAGTCTACAAGTCTACAGTATCCACATAAATGGCTGGTTGTGTAAATGAAAATGAGAGGATAGTTTAGTGGCCAAAACATGAGGCTGGTATTCAATTCTGAAGAAACGTGTTCAAATAGATGTCTGACTAAAGTGCCAGAGTGCTCCAAGTGTTTGTGAATACTGTTTATAATAAATTTTTTTGCATCATCATCACCTCCACCTGCACGATTAGCAAACTGAAGTGGATCCATCAAAGAGTCAGTTGCTTTGATAATATGATGTTTAACAATCTTTTTCAATGTTTTCATCACTAAGAACAGTCACAGGCTGTAAATCAACCAGTTTTTTGATCTTACTTTTTTAGGCATCTGAATAAATGTTGAATGTTTTCATAGTTAGGGCATTGTGCTGCTCTGGAACAAAATTTAAAAACATCCCAAGCGGCTCAGCACAATATCTCAACACGACCGCTAATATTGTCTGGGCCAGGTGAACTCCTCTTTCTGGTTCTCCTGAAGGCTCCCACTATCCTGTAAGCTAAAAGTAAATGCAGAGTTATCAGTCTTGAATCTGGATCTTATCAAGTTGAGAGGAATCATCTGACTTGAATCTGAACTGAAGTAAAAGGAATTAAGATCATCAGAAAGAGAAGAACTTCTACCCTCCACCTGGATGGTTATAGGGTAGTGTAGCGAGTATACCGGTGCCACGTCGCCATGGTCAAGGATTCACCCCAGCTGGATCCACATCAGCACTGGATCGTTCACAGCTGGACGTCATCAAGCGGAGAGGCATATAAGCCAAGCCCACGCAAGAGGAAGATGAGCTTCATTCAACTAATGACTCCCTGCGCTAATGCTTGTCTCTCTGTCTCTCCTCCACAGCAGACTCCAGCTCGTGAAGATCCTACACCCGACTACTCACTGTCCTTCACCTACTTCCCGGAGCACCAGAGCACCTCACCTCAAAGAAGAGCACCGTTTGCACTTATTGAAAGAGTGCTATTACGGCATCATTGTTTGCTGATTGTTGCCTGAGTGTCAGCATGGGAAATTAAGGATCTTAGAGGGATGCACGGTTGCCGTTTACTTTAGACTTACAATAATATTTTTGTTATTGAACCTTTGTTGTTGACTTTTGTTGTATGCGAATTTGGGTTGTTTATGATGTTGCTAGGTTGACAACAATTTGTATTTTTCCTTTGTTAAACTTTTCTTTCTTTTGTAGGTTCTGTTTTGGATTTGCTTTACCATCAGTGGCCACTGGGTTCCCTGCACTGTGTGGATGGCGGTGGAGAAAAGGTGGTTGGGATTGTGTGGTGATTTGGTCACTGTTGATTTTTGTGTTTTTTAGGTTGCAGTGTGATTGCTGTGAGCTGAGTGTGGTGAAAACACTGCTGCTTGGGTACCTCATCTGTCCTCACTTTCTGGGTAACCGGTGGCCATTAGTGGTTTGTTTTTTTCTTTTCTTTTATTTAGTTTATTTACTTTTTTTCCTCCTTATTTGCAATAAAGATGGAGACAATTTGTATATTACAACTTGTGGAATAAAATATAATTGTCTTCCTAATTGTAAGTCACTTCATTTACCCTCTGCTAAATCATTAACACTGACAAAAGTCATCTCGTCACAATTGGCGTAGTCGGCAGGACATTTAAAATTGATTTAATTTAGCAGAGGCTGTTGTGAAGTGTCTTACTCTATTGATTGTGCAACTTTAAATGTTTTTGCATAAGTTCAGTGTAAGTAAACGGTGACTGTGCATAAAGGATTTCGCAGACTCTGCTTTGTGGACCCTGGATGTCATTGTGCTGATTGAATGTCTTCCAGAATTCACCAACAGATATGGAGCAAGAACTAATGGACTTGAGGGAGCGGGTTCAAAGCTTACAAGCACAGAATGAGGAGTTGATGAGACTGCGTTCCCCATCTAGCAGTGATGCCCCTAGCCAACCTCACCCTTCTGTTTCTAATGACCCATCTTCAGTGTCTTTTAACAGAATGCTTTATGTGCCCCGAGAGAGGAAGTGCCCACGTTTTTATGGGAAGTTGGACTCTAACTTGAGTATTGAGGACTGGACTGACGAGTCTAAGGTGTGTATTGAGGGTAGAGGTTGGGCTGATAAAGAAAAGGTGGTCTTTCTGTTGGATCATCTTGGGGAAGAAACTAGAATGGAGGTAAAACTTCATCCACCTGTTACTAGACAAACTCCAGAGTCTGTTTTTGAAGTTTTAAAAGATTTGTATGGGGGAAAACAGACATTTGTACAATTACAGCAGAGGTTTTATGAGCGAAAACAGAAAGAAGGTGAATCAATGACTGAATTTTCTCATGCTTTAATGTCATTGATGGACTTGATTCTTAATAGTAATCCAGGTAGTGTTCCCAATTCCAATAGAGTGCTTCGCGATCAGTTTGTTGAATATGTCCAAGATGTAACGCTAAAACGTGAGTTGAAATGACTTGTGAGGGAGAAGCCTTCTCTTACGTTGCTCGAGGTTCGACGTGAGGCTCTTAGATGGGTAGAAGAGGGGAGCAGGGAAGCAACTCTTTCATATTCCCAGCCATGGTGTAATGCCACTCAAACCAGGGTAGTTGACCAGGAACCTAAGGTTAGATTCCAGGAATCAACAGAGTTAAAAGAAATGAAAGAAATGTTGAGACAGCAACAAGCACAATTAAATGATCTTACCCAGCGTCTTGATAGACTTATGCCTACAAAGAATGATCCCCCTGCTGTTGCTTTACCAAGGCAAAATACATCGCGGTGATGCCTACGTTGTAACAAAATGGGGCAGATTTTGTCGTTCACCTTGGCCTACAGAGTCAAACTCCGGATCACCTCAGGCAAATGTAAATGAGATTTCAGTTGGGGAATCCGATACTGTAGCCCCTACTGCAATTTTAAGCCAGATTGTTGAAGGGACTAGGGAAGCTTCAAAGTCACCTGTTTGCCCTACTATTTTACAGCGACTCGTGGGCAAATGCCCTGTTGTAAATGCACAGATTGGGATGGGAGTAGATATTTCTTGTTTGTTGGATACAGGATCCATGGTAACCACGATAACAGAGTCATTTTTTGAGAAACATTTCCATCAATTAGGGGTGAATGGTCTTAAGAAATGTAACTGGCTTCAATTAAAAGCAGCTAATGGCCTTGAGATCCCCTATGTGGGTTATTTTGAAACCGACATGAAAGTGTTGGGACAAACCCTTCGAGGACAGGGCATTTTGGTTGTGAAAGATCCAGTTGATGTTTTTTTTCATCAAAAGAAAGAATTTACTCCTGGCCTCTTGGGCATGAACATTATAGGACAATGTTATAATGATTTGTTTGAAAAACATGGCCCAGCACTATTTTCAGTTCCACAGGTTAGGCAGGCAGAACAAGGTTGGAAAGACGCCCTATCCCAGTGTCACGGGGTGGAGGATGCCCCTGTTCCTGGCTTTGTTGGGTATGCCAGAGTGCAGTCCTGCCAACCTGTTCAGATTCCAGCTGGAACTATGAGGTTAGTGCCTGCTTTGTGCCCAAAGAATATACACAGTGGGACAGTAGTGGTTTTAGAACCCCAAAACCCAGAGAACGGGGGGTTACCTGCTGGAGTGCTAATCTCATCTGCTATGCTGCAGTGTGTACAAGGTATAGTTCATGTACCTATAGTTAATGTCGGCACAGAACCTTTATATTTGCCCCCCAGAATTAGATTGGGTAGTTTGCTTAATGTTGAAATCATAAGTTCATCTCAGGGCATTTACTTTCAGGGTGATAGGTCACAGGACCCTAATGTAGTGGTTGTTCAGTGCCATGCTGTTAAATCGGAGTCAAGCATTGATATGCAAGGCGTAGAACTGTCTGGGCTTTCAGAGATTGAGGAGGAGGAAGTTAAGAGATTGTTAATGAAATATTCAGACGTCTTTTCAAAACATGATGGCGATTTGGGATGTACAAATTTAATAGACCATCAAATCCCCTTAGTAGATGATACACCAGTACGCCAACGCTATCGTAGAATTCCCCCCAGTCAGTTTGAAGATGTGAAGGCTCACATTAGACAGTTGTTGGACAGCCACATTATTAGGGGGAGCAGTAGCCCATATGCCTCCCCAATTGTATTGGTGAAAAAGAAAGATGGTTCTTTGAGGATGTGTATTGACTACCGCCAGCTGAATGGCAGAACCCGTAAGGATGCCTACCCTTTGCCAAGGATAGAAGAGTCGCTGGATGCATTGACTGGAGCAAAGTGGTTTTCAACTTTGGATCTGGCAAGTGGATATAATCAGGTACCGGTAGCGGAATCTGATCGATTCAAGACTGCTTTTTGTACCCCATTTGGGCTGTTTGAATTTAACAGGATGCCATTTGGACTGTGCAATGCCCCAAGCACTTTTCAAAGATTAATGGAGAGAATTTTTGGGGACCAGAGTTTTCAGTCGCTGCTGCTCTACTTGGATGATGTGATTGTTTTCTCAACAACTATTAAGCAACATATTCAACAACTGGGGCTGGTGCTGGATAGGCTGAGACAACAAAACCTTAAGATAAAACTCAGTAAATGTTACTTTTTCCGGTCAGAAGTACGTTATTTGGGGCATGTGGTCTCTTCCACTGGGGTTAGCACAGATCCAGAGAAGATATCGGCCGTAGCTAAGTAGAATCAGCCACAAAGTCTTCAAGAACTCAGATCTTTCCTTGGCTTTGCTAGCTACTATCGACGGTTTGTAAAGGACTTTTCAAAAATGGCTGGACCCTTAAATGCATTGGTAGCGGAGCTGATTAGGGGGCAAAAGAGTAAACGACCTAAGATTAACCTGGGGTCCAATTGGACTGGTTCTTGTGAACGTGCTTTCCAAGCCCTTAAAATGGCTCTGACTAACGCTCCTGTTCTGGCTTATGCTGATTTTAGTAAGCCCTTTATTCTGGACATTGATGCAAGTCACCAAGGTCTGGGCGCTGTGTTGTCTCAAGAACATGGAGGTAAACATCGACCAGTGGCTTTTGCAAGCCGTGGATTGCGACCACCTGAACGTAACATGCAAAATTACAGCTATATGAAATTGGAGTTTTTGGCCCTGAAATGTGCTGTTACAGAAAAGTTCAGGGAGTACTTGTTGGGCCAGAAGTGCTTTGTGTATACTGATAATAATCCACTTAGCCACTTGCAGACTGCAAAGTTGGGAGCATTGGAACAGCGTTGGGCTAATCAACTGGCAGATTTCGATCTGGAAATAAAATACAAGCCTGGACGTTCAAATGTTAATGCTGATGCTCTTTCTAGAAAAACTCCATCTGTGGTTGAACTTGCTTTAACGACTCCAGTGCCAAAGGAGTTACATCAGTATGGTCCCAACAGTTGTCACACAGTTGCCAGTGAAACCATGTCTGTCTTTCCAGAACAGCTTAGGGAAGATCTTGGTGCGTTACAGGAAGCGGATCCTGCGATTGGGCGTTTTCTTGTTTATTGGAATCGCCAAAAGACCCCTGATGCACAAGAGAGAGCAATGGAGTCATCAGAGGTGCTGGAACTCGTGCGGCAGTGGGGGAAGCTGGTGAAGATGGAGGGAGTGTTGTACCGAAAGTTTCATCCTCAAGAGGAACATTGAGAAATCCGCCAGGTTGTATTACCATCTGTACTCAGGGAAAGAGTCTTGGCCAGTCTACATGATGATCATGGGCATCAAGGCATTGAGCGGACCGCAAGTTTAGTGAGAACTCGTTGTTATTGGCCAGGTATGTTTAAGTTTATTGAGGAATGGTGCAAGAGATGTCAGCGTTGCACTCTGGCTAAAGTGGTACGACCAAGAGTGCGAAGTTTCATGGGGCACCTGATGGCAGAGAGACCATTGGACATCCTGGCTATTGACTTCACATTACTGGAACCTGCATCAAATGGGCTTGAAAATGTACTAGTTATGACTGATGTGTTTTCAAAGTTCTCACAAGCTATCCCAACTAAAGATCAAACTGCAGTAACAGTGGCACGTGTTTTAGTGGAGCGTTGGTTCTACTTGTTTGGAGTACCACGACAAATCCATTCCGATCAAGGAAGGTGCTTTGAAAGCAAGTTGATCTACGAGTTATGCAAACTATATGGCATTTCAAAGACTCGCACCACACCTTAACGACCACAAGGAAATGGGCAATGCGAAAGGTTTAATAGAACCATGCATGATTTGCTTCGTACATTGCCACCAAAGGAAAAGTGTTGCTGGCCAGACCATCTTGCTCAGGTAGTCTTTGCGTACAATACTACAGAGCATCAATCTACTGGGTACTCTCCTCATGTCCTTATGTTTGGGCAGGAGCCACACTTGCCAGTCGATTTTCTGTTGGGATTGGATGATGGTTTCCAGAGTGACGTAGACTGGATAGTGTACCATAAGGACAACTTGGAAAGAATATTCAACAATGCCCGAGCTCGTCTTCAGTGTGCCACAGAACATCGTGCTCGAACAAATGACCAGCTTGTGCGACATGAGAAGCTAAAAGAAGGCCAGCTTGTGTATCGAAGAGCTCACAACATAAAAGGCAGGAACAAGATTCAAGATGCTTGGGATTCAACCCCTTACAAAGTAGTGCGGTGCCTTGATGAACTTGGAGCTGTGTATGCTATTGTTCCTGTAGAAGGTGGCAATATTAGAAACCTCCATCGTTCTGAACTGCGTTCAGCCTATACCCCCCCAAATGATTTTGGCCTTTTAGATCAGGCAGACTATCAAAAAAACTTCACTGATGAAGAGGGAGATATTGTAATGATGTCCCTGAGGCCTGGGGGTGTGTTATCTCAAGAAAAAGTTAATCCGCAACCTAGAACACAAATAATAGAAGATATTAGTCCATCTTTACCTGTAGTGGTTGATGTGGAGGACCAGTCTGCTCCACGGCCGGAAGGAGCGGTTGTAAGGCGTACGAGAAGAGCAAGAGCTGGACAGCATTCAAACCCATACCATCTTCCTCGGCCTGTACATGTCAGTGAAGCTGAGTTGCATAGCCATGTTGCTCTTCCAGTAACGGGGCTGTCCAGCAATGTCCTAAATGGTTTGTTTCGCCCATGGTTGTAGTGGTTTAAGTTAATCGACGAGACGTCGATTTAAATTTTGGGGGGTAGATTGTAATGAGACCATGTCTGGGCACTACAAGTCCCAGCAGGCTTAGCGCCATGCAAGGAAGTGTTGTTGTTTATGTGCGGACACTTTATTTCCTGATTGCGGCGTAAATTAACAACAGGTTGTAGGTTGCTCAGCGCTATATAAGTGAGTCAAAGTTTGTTTGCCATTTTGCTGTCGTTGTTGCATTCTGGTCGCGGCACGTAAAGGCCGAGTCAACACTTCACGTGAGGGGTAGCTGATGAGCAAACAACATTTAAAGCTGCCAGATCTTCATTGCGAACTTATTTAAAGAGTGCTATTACGGGATCATTGCTTGCTGATTGTTGCCTGAGTGTCAGCATGGGAAATTAAGGATCTTAGAGGGATGCACGGTTGCCGTTTACTTTAGACTTACAATAATATTTTTGTTATTGAATCTTTGTTGTTGACTTTTGTTGTATGCGAATTTGGGTTGTTTATGATGTTGCTAGGTTGACAACAATTTGTATTTTTCCTTTGTTAAACTTTTCTTTCTTTTGTAGGTTCTGTTTTGGATTTGTTTTACCATCAGTGGCCACTGGGTTCCCTGCACTGTGTGGAGAAAAGGTGGTTGGGATTGTGTGGTGATTTGGTCACTGTTGATTTTTGTGTTTTTTAGGTTGCAGTGTGATTGCTGTGAGCTGAGTGTGGTGAAAACACTGCTGCTTGGGTACCTCATCTGTCCTCACTTTCTGGGTAACCGGTGGCCATTAGTGGTTTGTTTTTTTCTTTTCTTTTATTTAGTTTATTTACTTTTTTTCCTCCTTATTTGCAATAAAGATGGAGACAATTTGTATATTACAACTTGTGGAATAAAATATAATTGTCCTCCTAATTGTAAGTCACTTCATTTACCCTCTGCTAAATCATTAACACTGACAAAAGTCATCTGGTCAAAGTAGGTTAAAGCAGTGTAAATAGAAGTTATGTTTTAAGACCCTGCCAGGCTAAACGAAGATTTTCACCAGTGAATTTCTGCTCCACTTTATCCTTACACCTTAGTCTGGCCATTTTATGGCCTGCTTAATCTCTGCATAGACATTTCACCAAATCCTCTTCTTCTTATTCTAAATTTCCTTGAGCTCTTTGAGGTTTGTTGTTGGGAAGATAGTTATTGTTTTCGATAAAACAATATTATCAACACAAATAATAAATAACTGATGAAACTTTGTCTACCTGCCTTGATGTTTTCAGGTGTAGAAAGAAGGCTGTCCCAATTGGTGGATTCAAAGCATCCCTGTAAAGATTGGATACTCTCAAGTGTCCACTGCTCGATTTTTGTGTCTACTAGCATAGAAGCAGTTCTGTATTCATGCATATGATAAACATTGAATGCAACTCGACTGTTTTATTACGGAGAGAACGTACGTTAGCCATAATGATAGATGGGAGCGCACGTTGTTTCCTTGTCTCCCATTTTAATCTGGCTTTAACACCTCCCTTTTCCTTCCCCTTCTGTTTACCTTGGCTCTGATGCAAGTGGTGTTATCTTGGTTAGATAAATTCATGTGAAGTATTTCCTCAGGAAAACTATTCTAAAATACCAAGTCATGTGGTTGAAGCTGAAGCTGAAGCTACATTAGGTGGGTCTCTGGTGTATATGAGCCATGAATTAACTGGCAGATCCCTAGTCACTGCAAACGCAGACTCAAAGAAAAGTATCCACTGCAGGAACATCACCAACCAAATAAAACCACAGATATCTATAGTGCTAGGAAACACCCATACACATTCATACACTACGGACAATGTAGTCTACCCAATTGACCAATAGTGCATGTCTTTGGACTGTTTGGGAAACCAGAGCACCCAGGAACCCAGGGTTTGCCAACTCAAACCAGCGACCTTCTTGTTGTGAGGCGACTGTGCTAACTGCTGAGCCACCATGTCAACCTAAAATAACAATAATAAAAAGTACGGCTCAACAAGCCAACTGGTTGACCACATGAGCAGTGACCCAGAATTTTTTTTTGCCAATTTAAAATAGTTCACTTGGTGATAACTAATTATAAGAGTCAAAGAAAGTCAAATTGATCAGAGAAGTGTTACCCAGGAGAGAGATTGCAAAGGTGAGCTGGAATTTTGACTTAACATTTCTGCTAATTTATTTGTGACCTCAAAATAATGAACTGTTGGCAATAATTTAAATAGTGAAGGTATGAGTCGTTTGTATTTTATTCGCAGCTGGAGCGCATGCCTGCTAGTCCTAGAGTTAAGATTAAGAATTAGATACTTGTTATAAAATCAAAATTTCAAGTCCATATAAGTTGTGTTCATTATTTTTTTTAGGGAAATGAGGAAACTGAGAAAATAAGGAGACTTTGAAAATAAGGAAGCTGAGAAATTAAGGGAACTCAGCCTGCGGCCTCGTGTCAATGCACGCCTCCCACCAGAGCTTATATACAGCAATAGCATACTGCTACTCATGTGATATATACAGCCTGATCTCACGTGGCTAATTATAGAGTTCAGTCATGTTCAGTCAGAGTTCACTGCAATGCACCTAATGCGAAGCAAAAGATCTAAGCAGCACCTGGAAAACACGGTTAGAGGAAGGAGGACACAAACGCAGAATGAGGGCAGGGTGCATTTATTGACAATAGTAAGTGTATAAGGGGTTAAGTGGAGCACAGTTCAATGGTGATGGACAATGTGGTGCAGGAGAGTCCTGGATGTAGCTAACAGAGGAAAGGGGAAGTGCTGGAGCATCCTGGATGGCGCAGTCAAAAACCCCAGAATGCCAGGAGGACAGGTGGTGAAGGTGTAGGGAGAGGCACTGCTGACCAGAAATCCTGGAGAGTTGTCTTACTAATAGCAGCCTGACAGAGTTCACCAGAAGCCAGGGACTTACAGCAGGGAGGGTTGAACAGAGAGACTAGACACATACAGAGACAGACAGGGGAACTAAACAGTAAACTAAAATAATGAAAAGAAAAACTAAAACGGTAGAAAATAAATGCAAAGAGAAGTTAATTTGGATTTAACTTACTGAAATAAAACAAGAAATTAATACAATAAAAATTAACTAACCACTTGAAGCTACCAATTAAACAAACAAGATATAGAATAACCTAATCAAACTTGATAACGGATACACCAGACAGGGAAGATAATTGAAGCCTAATGAATAAGACAACCAAACAAACGTTAGACAATAAACAGTAACACAGTCAGAAGCATGAGCACAGTCAAGAAACATGTAACGTGCAACAATTAATGGACAAAGGGGAAGAGAGCACAATATAAAGTGAGGAAAGAGCATGAGGACCAGGTATAAAAACTGAGACTAAAGCTGCGGTCACACTGCACTTTGCTCCCCATAAACCTCCATGGACATGAATGCGTCAGACCAGAAATGCAAGCTCGTGCGACAAGTTTTCACAGTTGGCAGCATTGGAAATTTCAAGCTTGTTGAACTCTGGCTTGTGAAATTGCATCACATGATTGTGTGAAACCAATTGGAGATTGGACTGAAATTTAAATCATGGAGCAATCGCTCGCTTTTTTAAATGTCTAATCATCTTGTTTAATCCCACCCCTTTTGCAGCACTGTACAACAGAATGTCGCATGCTCAAACTTTAGTGTGACCGCAGCATAAGGAGAGCTAGATGAGGTGTAGGCATGGCAACTGGAAACGAGGGAGAGCAGAGGAGCACATGGTGAACACAAACAGGTTGAGGCATGTGCTCAGACACAAGATAAACATAGAAAAATTTTATATTGACAAAATAACTGACAAAAAAGAGCTCTTACAGGTTTGCATGATTGCTTCTCAGCTAGGTTTATATAATAATAATAATAATAATTATTATTATTATTATTATTTAGTTAGTGTTTTTTAATTTCAATAGTTGTTAGCAGGCCTAGAATAAGAACACATATACCCCTGCAGCTACAACAAAGGGCACCATTTGTTTTTATTGGCCTATCTTATTTATTTCTTTATTATAATTATTATTTTGTTGTTGTTGTTGTTGTTGTTGTTGCTATTATTATTATTATTATAGGCTACATTATCTATTTATTATTTCATTTTCATATAACTTTTAATTTTAAATGATTGGGTAATTATATAAAATACAAGAGCAGTGGCTGTCCAATGAATAGTGCATCATTTCCAGGTAGCTTAATCATTTGAGAGCCGAATCAAAAGAAGTCAAAAGAAGAAGGTCAAAAGTCAAAAGTGCAATTTACAAAAGGATGGGCCGCAATGCCTATTTCTTATGCATTCTCTCTCACTTAACAAGCCAACTTTTCGAGACATTCTAAAATGCTGGATTATTGCAAATAAACAAATTTTCAAATAACTAAACACATCAAAATTATGTCAATTAATTAAACGCATACTTATAATTCATAACAAATTTTGGCTAGTAGTTCTGACTAACAGATGAGCCCACTGTCAGTGTGTTGCATTAATAGTGACATTTGCTCTTCATGTGCAAATTATGTTAGTGTCACAGTGGTATTTCACAAATATAGGCTACTATTCAGTTCCTGCATTGTATTTTCATGGATTTACTGGGCATTTACATATGGGAAGTGCATTTGGTAATGGCGTGCGCACAGAAATCAGCGCACTACCCGATCTATGCTAGATTGAGTTCACTTTAATCTAATGCTGCTTAAATTATATAAAATCATTAAAATGACAGGACTTTAATCAAGATAGGTCTTTAAATAAACTTGACTTGCTAAAACATGTTTTCTAAAGATATGTTTTTTTTTTTCTTTCTCAGTTATAGCCAAGTCACACTGCAAAATGTTTGTTGTTATCTGTTGTAGGGCCAAGATGATTTAGTTCCTGATTGGAGCCGAGCCTGCAATAAAGAGGCCTATATTATTAGTTTTATTATAAGGTTACCTATATTATGCTATTAAATTAGTACAATTGTACAATAAAATATTTCTCCTTCCATAGCCGTGAGAAAGTTTTTTTTTGCAGGTGAGAGCTGAGAGAGGGTGTGGGTTGGGGTGTCGAATATTCTCAGGAGCTCTGTAAGTGTGCAATACACCGACATGGTTCTATAAAAAAAGTGTTACAAGGCCTTTTTATAGAAATAAAATCAATTTAGTTTCCACTGGACATGTTACTACAGATATGAGGGAGGTGCCATGCGGAATCAATTACATGTTAATCATTAATTAAATTTGGCCTATTAAACACTCTCTTACCTGAACTTACTGCAAATAAGAAAATGATAGCACATCAGTACTGAGTAAAAATCAGATGCTCAAGTCAAAATCTGTAAAATGATGACAAAAATTAAAAATGTAAATTTATGACAGAGGTTTGTGATACAACAATTAAAGTGGAGCATTAGCCCTATAATTAAATCCTTATTTTACATGGAGTGAAACTAATCCACTCCCACAGTTGTGTAGCAGACTGGCACAAACAAAATATATACACTTCACATAGGTGATTTTTGTTGGAAAGATTATGGAATGAATTTTCTCTCTAATATCTTACAAAATAAACAAAAAGAACGAATAACATCTGAAGTGAAGTACTTCAAAACAAGGTCCGCTATACAGGCCTAGGCTATGTTTCAGTGCCAAAACACAAACTGCATTGTTAAATAAAATAATAATGCAAATAAAAATAAAATGAAATATTCACAGTTTCAGAGTATCTTATTTTAAATAGTTTTTGTTGTTAAAGAAAAAATCATCAATTGCGCTGATCAGTTTCAATTTAATTTGTTTAATAAAGTGAATTGAATTAGCCAAGACAGCCTTACAAATTCTTCACAGCATTGAAAAAATTTCCAGATTACCTTGGAAAAAGATATTGGTCTGAAGGATTGGAGAACACAGAAACTCGTTGTGGATTGGATGGATGGATTTCACTCTGATTTAAATGTGCCCTGTAATAAAAGAAGAACTCTGGACGCTAAAGAAAAAGGCACAGGATAGACATTATTTCCCTCTTTTCTGAACTTTTCTTCCTCTCTGATATTGATAAATACTCAATATTTTTGATAGCTTTTGATTAAATCCCAACATGTGAGTAAATATTTAACAAAATAACCATTCATTGCTCTCATAGGGTATTTAAAGAGACGGACAAAATTTCTCTGGGTCGCAAGTCTGTATCTAGACCGGCCTGTAGTGAAAGCTCTTAGGCTCAACACTATATATAATCTGGACTTCCATCTATACTCTTAGATTTATCTTTACGTAATTGAAATTGTGGATTTACTTCAAAATTGGCTTTAATTGTTTGAATCTGTAACTGCCATAATGTGGAATAGTTTTAGTACTCTGAAAGATATCGAATTGTAATAGAAAACATTTTTTGAAATATAAAATTGTAACAAATTTAATGCAGCTTTGCTCAAATAAAATAAAAAAATAAACAGTATAAATTCATAAAACTCATGTTTCCCGAAACATGAAAAATAGAAATAGTATACTGTATGTACTGGATATGTAAGAAAACATTATTTAAACAATAATAATATATATTTTTTCTTTATACCAGAGCATTTTACTTTACCAGAGCATTTTAACATTTTGTAGAAACTTAAAATATGCTTCATTCACATAATCAACAAATAATAAAAATAATTTCATGGTGATGAAAATTAATAATAACAATGACTAAAAGGACAAGAATGCATTGTTATTGTGACAAACATGAAACAACCACCACCACAACAACAACAATATTAACAACAACACCAAGATCAGACTTGTCTGATCATTAACCTGTATACCTGGTACCATTGTTGGTCTATATTCATGGGTGTACATTTTAATTTCATATCACATTTGAATACTTCTTGTTGCTCTTTTAAAAAAATTAAAAACAACAAAAATACATATAAAAATGTAACAAACTTAAAAAAAGAGTTTTATTTTCCTGTTCTTTTACCAATCCATGCCGACCTGCCTTGAAATCTTTATGACACATTTTTTTACAATCACAAAACAATTCCAATGCACAAATATTTTAACATATAGTTTATCATTTTCATTCTTTTTTCTTGAAACTGTCACAAAAGCAGAAGTCCTATGTAATCCCTCATTTGGAGTCTTGTTAATTAGAGTTTTTATTTGCAATGCAAGGCCTTGGTCCTTCAGTCTTTATTCCAAAGTCAGATGTCTCAGTGACTGTGCACTAATGGTCCAGAGGACTCTTGTTCAGTGACCAAGTATGGGAGATCTATATATGATGGGGCAGCACATAGAAAAACCACGCTAAAAAGTAATTGCAAGAGAAAGAGTCAGATATAAAGAGAACTAGAGCGACACAAACTAGGAAAGAGTTAGAAAGCCAACCTGACAACAAACACATCTTTAACACAAACATTCCTCTTCTACTTGGCATTGTAGAAGTTCTGTATTTTTTATTTATGTAAAGCTATTTAAGATATTATCATGTTTCTTGTATTTCTTGAAAAATGTATAACTGTTGTGTCTATATGACAGCATATCATTTTTTTTTTCTGGTTCTTAAATCTTGACCCGTGTATCGCCCTGCCTGCAACGAGTAAGAATGTAGTTCCTTAGTTTTCAAATTTGCAGTTTAATATAAGGATAGTGTCTGTTTGAAAATGTGTTTAGATGATTCCTTAGATAAGACTTCCAGCACATCAGCTGCCATCAGTGCTCTCATTTCCCACCAAGAGCACCCTTTTGATGGAAACGTATTTCAGAGTCTGATGGATTTCTCTCTAGTTTTTAAATGTGAAATAAAATGGTTTCTTCAATGGACATTATCAGTACAAGATTCATGGCAGGGTAAACAGATAAAACTCTTTATTTAGTGATTTTTATTTTATGTTGTTTTGCATTTTAATCCAGATCTGTGCACAAGGTCTTTTTTGTTATTATATATGTATGTATATTATATATGTATGTATGTATTGTTATATATGTATAACAATACACACACACACACACACACACACATAAATATATATATATATATATATATATCCCAAATAATTTTTAACAGAGCAAGGAACTTTTCACAGTATGTCTGAAGTATTTTAAGTCTTATTTGTTTAATTATAACTAAAGAAAAAGCATTTTTAAATAAAAAAAAATCATTTTAAGGTCAAAAGTATTAGCTCCTTTAAGCTTTATTTTTTCGATAGTCTACAGAACAGACCACTATTATACAATAACTTGCCCAATTACCCTAACCTGCCTACTTAATCTAATTAACCTAGTTAAGTCTTTAAATGTCATTTTAAGTTGGAAAGAAGTGTCTTGAAAGATATATAGTAAAATATTATTTACTGTCATCATGGCAAGAATAAAATAAATAATTTATTAAATACGAGTTATTAAAACTACTATGTTTAGAAATGTGTTGAAAAAAAATCTCCTCTCCATTAAACAGAAATTGGGGGGAAAATAAACAGGGGGGTGGTAATAATTTTGACTTCAATTATATATATATATATATATATATATATATATATATATATATATATATATATATATATATATATATATATATATCTGTCGCATCAGGGTATTCATCATTAAACCTATAAAATTACTGTAACAGCGTAGGGCCCTTCAAGTAACAGAGGGAATCCTATAAATACTGTGACTGAATGTTATTTTTAGTTATACCCAAATTAAATTATATTTCACAATAAACTACCAAACAGGCATCTATCAGACTCCTGAAAAAGTAGCCATCAGAAGAGTGATGTTAGCGGGCAATGAGAGGCTGACACATTTTGTCAAACAAAAGAGAGATCATACAAAATGCAGTTTGTGAACCCTGTGTCTCTGTGTGTCAATAAATTAATCTTTAGTTTTTTTGAGCTTTAATTGTTATAGTCACAAATACTAAACAAACATTGCTTTTTTTTTTTTTTTGCAGTTTGAAACATACAAACTTGTTCCAGATTCAGCACCACTGAAAAACTTACTTTGATTTTTACTGCAGTAATTAGTTTAATTAACACCGCTTTATTATCTTTTATTCTTTGTTTTCAGTTGTATTATTTTTTTATATGATGGAATTATAATTATAATAACTTACTCATGAATTAAATGAATCTAAAAGCTTTAAATGTTCTATGACTGAAAGCAAATAATTCTCCACTCCCCCTTTAAAAATGAGTAGTGTCTTTGGCAGATTCACAGACTGAACTGTATGCTTTTTCGATTGCGCAATGGAACACGATTACAATCACTTTGTAAGGAACTGTAACTGCTTTCAACATCTGTTCATATGTAAACATGGTTATGCACAAAAGTACAAAAAAAAAAAACATACAAACGTTAGAAGAGACACTCATATACTTTTTTTGTACCATTTCACAAAAGTGAAAACTGAACTCATATGACAGTAAAGTCTCTGGAAGTTGCTTAAGGTAGACAAACAGTATTATTAACATGGTAGTCATTTACATCTGTCTCCTAACACATGAATGATGGTGGAATAGAGGTGGACAATAGAACACGTTAAAAAATGCTGCCCGCTTCATGTACCTTGTGTCATTTAAGAAAGATTGCTATGTAAGAATGCCCGTATTTGGACATTTAGATGGGATATAATGGCTTTAAAATTAGGGCTAGTTAACAGATGTCCTGCAGGGTTGCAATCTGGGTAAAAATCCACATAGATATGCAAGGATCTGGTGAGAAGTTGGCTGTCTGTTGGCTGGACTCCATAACTCATAGTGCAGGACATATCATAGTGTTGTATGATGTATGGGGCAGGCTGGTTGGGCACAGTCAGGTTGAGAGGATTATAATGCTATGAGGAACACAGATGTAAAAGCAGTGGGAGCATGAGCCACAGACTGGGCATTAATATCCAACCACCACTGGAGTCATCTGTCAGAAACGGCTCTGGAGACTCGTATAAAGAGTCATCTAAAAGAAACAGAAAGATAGATTAAGGCACATTAATAATCAAATCCAATGTTGTTTTATTGTTGCCTTTTCCTGTCTTTTTCACCTTACTTGCAAATATCATAAAACAATCTAATCACATAATTTTTAGGAATTTTCATTGGTGACAGGAAATGACTGTAGGAAATATTCATTGCAGGCATAGTTTCCACTTTAGGTGGTGGAATCTGTTAAATCCTCATTTAGGGCATTTTTACACCCACATTCATTCATTCATTCATTTTCTTGTCGGCTTAGTCCCTTTATTAATACGGGGTCGCCACAGCAGAATGAACTGCCAACTTATCCAGCACGTTTTTACGCAGCGGATGTCCTTCCAGCCGCAACCCATCTCTTAGAAACATCCACACACACACTCATACACTGGACAATTTAGCCTACCCAATTCACCTGAACCGCATATCTTTGGACTGTGGGAGAAACCGGAGCACCCGGAGGAAACCCACGCAAATGCAGTGAAAACATGCAAACTCCACACAGAAACGCCGACTGAGCCGAGGCTTGGACCAGCGACCTTCTTGCTGTGAGGCAACAGCACTACGTACTGCGCCACTGCTTTGCCCTTTACACCCATATATTCTATATATTGCACATTCAAATTGAGTCAGCTCACTTTCATGAAGCAATATTTCTAAACAGATGGAAATGTTTTTCTCATCTCATTGCTCAGATTTCCCTCTTTTATGTTTAAGAATTCTGCTCAATTGGTCACCCATCAGAATGGATAGACAGCAGTTCTATGTGCTTATTGTTGCTCTCCTTGTAGCTAACATTTTAGTATTTTTAACATGAGGAAGAGTCAAAGCTTTTTCATGATGCTACTCCAAAAAAACAAAAATAAAATTAAATTAAATTAAAAATCCACTATTGAGCCAAATGATTCTCTACACTCAAATCCGGGGAACGTTATGAAGCTCTTTAGAATTTATTACAAATGTGTCAGCAATTGCCTTGCTTTTGCAAGTGTAATGCAGGGACTATTTGCTTTTTACTTTGTTGAATAACGAAAAAAAAAAAAAAAAAAAAAAACTAAACTGTGCCTTTACTTTGCCAGCTATGGAAAAACTGGCAGTAAGGCAACAAACTGGTGACATTGCACATTTGCAGTCTAGCAGCACAGCTCAGTACAATTGTCTAAAGTTCCAGGCCAAGAATGGTATGTAAGCATGCCACATAGTACCAGGATTGTGGAAATACAATTGAAACCACACGTGACTGTTACACCATAGTGGAAAAGTGTCTTTAGTCACCAGTAAAGGTCCAGAGTTATGGATCCTGTACATAAATTACACAAACTTAAAATTACACACTTATAATCTAATGAGAATTAGTTGGTAATTCAACAAACAGACCATCAAAATTATGTGACTGATTTCTGACAGGGGATTGATTTGAAAGTATCACCATGAATAACATCAACAAAACCCTAAATACATGGCAGAAACTCAGACATACTCACTTGTAGGCTTGACATACACCTTTAATTTCAAACATGGCTTTCCACCAAGGTTGGGGTGTGGAGAGGCTGTGAAGAGAGAGAGGAATATAAATAATTAAAGTATTTTATTAAGTATAAATAATAAAGTAATTTTCTCACTGACTTAAAAAGAAAATCACATGACTTGATTTACATAGAAAAACTTAAAAGTACATCTATACAATTTGACTGCTGATTCAATAACGCAGAGTGGACAATTCACTCAAATCACTGTAGTTAACCAATACAATGCAATGCTGCCCACTTTTTCATCTGCACTGATTGTGGGTTAGGGTTTTTACATTAGGTTAAATTTACTAATCAACACACATTGCCAGGTAGAAAAATAAATAAGAACAAGAAAGGCTAATTAAAGGCTAATTATTCGTGCTGACACCATGATAGCAGGGAGCCACAGTAGATCAGGAAACTTGTTTGGAGAGCAGTGAATTATATTCTCTGTCTAAGAACCAGAACGGGTGAGGTTATTTATTTATTTATTTTGCAGTCTTACTTTAATGAACAGAATAATATTATACTATAAAATAGAATAAAACAGAATTAAGGAGGCTATAATACAATACAATACAATACAATACAATACAATACAATACAATACAATACAATACAGCCTAATAAAGTTCAATACTATTATAAAATTATAATACTGCAAAGGCAGTGTACTGTTTTGTTATACTGTTATGTTATATTATGTCCATCATCCCATTTTTAAAGTCATGTTTTTAATTAAACTAAATATGGAAGATATGAACTCTAAGTCTGTAAAATAAACTATTAAAAGCATTTGATATTCAGTAGTTTAACGATTGTAAGTTCTGTATTGTTATCATTCAGGCTGCATTTCATGTTTAAAAAAAACAAACCGTCTGCTTGCCATTGCCACTGCAATAAGCTCCAGTGGACAGCCAATCACTTTCACTCCAAAATGGCAGACGTGCAAAGCTGTTTACTTGGTGCTACTGTTGCAATGGACTGTTCTATTCAGTTTCACTTATTGTTAGTGTAGGTTATTTGATAATATAGGTTCTTAGTTTATATTGAAAAACAATAAAAATGCAGTGCATAGGAAACAATTAAAATTCTACCCCTTAGCCCTTCTCCTTATGCCTACTGAACAAAGATTTTCCAGGACCACACTCGAAACCAAGGGATAAGAAAATTTCCTAGAATACACCAGCCACAGCTGCACCCAGAAGTAAGGAGATACACAAATTAGTATTTTTTTTTTCATTTTTGGTAAATTTTGAAGGGGTAGGGATACTAAAATAGAATTGGGATTGGGTCTAATATTCTGATTTGAACACAATTAAGACAATACCCTGAATTAGAGATTTTTGTGACATTATTTCAATTAGAGTCATTCATTCATTCATTCATTCATTTTCTTGTCGGCTTAGTTCCTTTATTAATCCGGGGTCGCCACAGTGGAATGAACTGCCAACTTATCCAGCAAGTTTTTATGCAGCAGATGCCCTTCCAGCTGCAACCAATCTCAGGGAAACATCCACACACACATTCACACACACACTACGGAGTATTTAGCCTACCCAATTCACCTGTACCACGTGTCTTTGGACTGTGGGGGATGTAAAATAGGAACATCTGATAGGAAAATTCAAGGTAAATAACTTGATTACTGAGGTCCATAAATGTAATAACTCATTCACTTTTCTTTGTCTTCATTCCTGATAATCAGGGGTCGCCAAAAAAGAATGAACTGCCAATTACTCTTGCATGTATTATGTGGTGGATGCCCTTCCAGCCGTGACACTCTTAATCACACACTCATACACTATGGCCACTTTCCAACTCACCTATTCTGCATGTTTGTGGTTTGTGAGAAACACAGAAATGGCAATTACCAGGAAGCAAACCAGTGACCTTCTTGCTGTGAGGTGATAGTGCTAACCACTGATCCACACTGTTAAAAATGGTCCCATTAAAAAAACAGTAATTTACTGGCAGCACAGTTGCCAGCATGTTACTGTTAAATTAAAAGCATCTCGCTGTTGCTCTTTAAATTAACAGTAAAATGCTGGCAGCTGCAGTTGCCAGCAATGTACTGTTATTTTACAGTATGTTGCTGTAAAAATACATTGACTACATTGATATTCACAATACTCAAGTGAACTCATTTTGTTCACTAAAAGCAACTGCCTCAAATTGGCCAACTGCTGTATGGGTTTATGAAGTAATATGCTATATATGCTTAGAAACATACTTATAATGATAACTTATTTTAGTTAATTAGAAAAGTTCAGTTTAAACCAAATGTAGCACATCAAAAACCAAAAAAAATCTAGTGATGCTCGTATTGTTTTAATGATGCATTGATATAATTCATTGCTCCTATCTAATGTTTAATTTATTAATAAACATAAAAAAATATGCCTGTATGTAACATTGAGTTCTGGAAGATTTTAAGAATATCTTGGATAAAAACAATTTGCTCTATAGTGTTCCCTGCACTCAAAGAGACATCAAGAGTCAGTGTATGAACTTGAACAACGGTGACAATTAACAAAATTAACAGTTTAACTCACAAACAGGCTTCTGAAAGTCTAAACATAAACAACAGCAGAATCAAACGCAAATAAAGAAAACTGTAAGACATTTACACTACATAATTTATTCATGCCCCAATGCATGCTGGAATTTATGTACTGTGCCACACCCAGCATGCATTGCAGCATAATACATTTTAAATGTTACCAGTCTTGTGGTACAAGGTCTGATTCATGAGTGGGTCAAGACTGGACTGTTTTTGTATGTTATTTCTTAACTCTGTAAAGGAATTAGGTATCGTTCCTGTTCCCACTTCTCATTAACAAATTAATGTCTGTACTAAGCATGTCAACTATTGCATGAGGCCTGTCATCCAGACTTTTTTCAAAGCATTCATCAGAACAAATTTCAAACCAATAAATTTATAAATTTACTGACTTTCCAGCTTTATTGCTATAATAAAGGTGTTATAAAAACTTTGTATTATAGCAGCTGGAGTGTCTTAATTAATGAGTTCAAGGGTGAAGAGCCCAACCAAATCAACCCATCATCTCCATTATGGCAAACTATATTAGTTAACTAGTCTATTGAATAGTGAACGAGGGCACAAAGTGTGATTTTAAACACAGACCTGAACGATCAAATATGAACTGTTAACATCACAGTTTTTCTGCTGTTGGTTACTTTCTCAAAAACAAAAATGTTATCCAGAATGCACTGTTTTTAACAGAAAATTACTGTTTTAGTGAAAAAAAACAGTGCACCATGCAACCACCAACTGTACATAGTAGCCATAAACAAACTACTGTAATTTGGGTGTGTAAGAGTCTATATTATATGCATTATTTATATGGCAAAACATGTCCATCACCAAAGAAGGTCCATACAGATTCCAAAGGCAGATAAGATCAAGGCCTAGTGTGGGCTTTGGGGGTTTTACGAGGTGGTCATATGTTGGTTGGTACGTTTGAATGTCTGAGTATTTGGGCTTTGGTCACATGGTCAAGAAAGTGGCAAAATAGTTGGTAAAGATTGCTCTGTCTATTTTCCTACTCTGCACTTTCCTGCTCTGCTCCTCTCATGCTCTGGAGTATGAAATTACTTTGTCTCTCCCTCCCCCTGTCACTCTCTTTCAGGTATACTTTATATTTTTACACTATATTTTTACATTTAAACTGGACACAATTATTGTCATATGTTTTGATCATTTCATATTTTATCAATTTATACAGTTATTTTGTAACTAGTTCAGTTGTAACCATAGATAATTATTGTCAATAAATCATCTAATTTTCAAGTATTTATGAATAGCTTTTGATTTAACATCAACATTTAATTGCTTAATTTTTAAAAGTCTAGTATTGTATACTCCCCGCTCGTCTTCACATGTATAAACATAGAAAGACATGGCTTACTACTTTAATAATGTTGTATTAATTAAAAACTTTACACAATGAGAAAGAAAATTATCAGGTCACTGTGCATTCTATATATTTTATCATGAAGAATGTAATCTGCATGTATGCAAAGCGAAAAAAAATAAATAAAAAAAGAAAGAAAATGAACATCTTACACAACTAAATGACAGTGCACAACAAATTCAAAAACACAGGACAAATAATACACACTAACTGTACTAGAAGGCCAGGTGTATTTGCACTGTATAATGCCAAGCTATTGTAAAATATAATTTAGAATTTAAATGGTCTTTAAATGGCTTTGTCATAAGTCATTATAATGGTGTATACATGTAGACTTGTAGTTCAATCAACATTTCATTGCTTCCCTCTAGTGACGTCTACAAATCATGACAGTTTTAAAAATCAAAACTGTTTTTGTACTGATGTAAATTGTAAATACTTGATTGAATTAAGAAAAAGAAGTAGAGGGAGCAACAGCAGCAGCCATAGCAGCTCACTTTCTTCATGGATCAGACCCGTTTGTAGCAGGGAATAAGAACAGGAAGGAAGTAGTAATTCAGATTTAGAAAGAGAAATTATAGATGATGTGCAATAATTTTCTGGTGAACAAGATCAAGGAGGTACTGCAGGAGAGTTGCAAGAAGGAGATGCAAGAGAAGAAAGCCAGTAAATAACTGCTAGTATAGATCAGGAAAATGTGGAGACTGGAGCCATTAAAGGAGAGTTTCAGCCGGAAGAATCAGGAGAAAGCCAGCTTAAAAGTGCTAGTATAGATCAGGAAAATGTAGAAATTGGAGCCACTGCAGGAGAGTTACCACCTAAAGAATTAAGTGAAGAAAGCCAGTTTGGAAGACAAAATCCAAGCGTTAAGTTGCCATTCTGTGACACCAAACAAATTCACTGCTCAAAGTATCATGGGTGAAACTGCTTGTCATCAAGTGCAATTTATGAAAAACAAAACAGCAGGGTTTTTTTTTTTTTTTTATTATTCAAGGACAGTAGTGTTAAGCACACTGCCCACAAGGCTATAAAAAAAAAAAAAAAAGATAATAAAAATAAAAATTCTAAAATTCCTAAATTAATAAAAAGTTGATTGTGCCA